CACCATTAAATAGTTGTACATTGGGATACTCCAACTGTATCACGTCACGTCTGACATTAACAATATATTAACAGGAATTACAGGACAGTTTTTAATTTGGCACACCTCCTATGAATGATGAGACTGTGTATGGGAAGTCGTCACTGCGACCCAGTAGACATTCCCGTGCTTCACTTTGACAAAGACTATGGAACCCACAGCCAGGTGTAGGTCATGCTCACATCCCTGAAAGGCCAGTTGTCATCTGTCCCAGACACCACCTGCATCTATAAGGATAGCGTTCATGAAACTAAGCAATCCTCAGCTACAAACAACATGGTATGGAAATATTTTATGAAGCGACAAAGTCACAGCCAACTCTCAGTTGTCCACAGTGAAGGAAAATATGAACACAGGAAAATGAAATACGTCGGTGACTCCCAACTCCTACAACAGTTGCTGAAAGGATATAAATAGTGAGACTTGAGTCCCATTTCCTACTCATGGTCTTGTCATTCCAGGAGGATAGTGCTTTCGAAAGGAAATAATTTAAAAAACCAGGAAATACGAAAGAAAAACACAAAGAGAAAGTTCAGTTTGTCCACTAGCGAGATGATCTGGTCTTATCACTCAAGTTCTGTGTGAGATCTTCATTTCTACTGCCTAGGATGCTTGCAGAATGGATTTTCTTTCTGTCTAATGGGGAATTCAAAACATGCACAGCCTGGACTAATCAAATCAGTGTGAAGAATCTATTTCATGGTCCTTTAAAACAAGATGTGAGTTCCAGTTGGCACGTAGCAAATGTTCCCTTTTTTTTTGTTTAAGCACTGAAAAAGCACCATAGATGGAATTTTCCATTTACTAAGAAAGGTATCATTGGTTGCACAGGTATATTGGGAGCTGCAGTGCTGTGTGTCCCAAGAGTGAGTATTTACATCTACCAAAGAGACATACAGTTAGATTAGAGTGTTGAGCATCTCTGGGCAGGTTTTAAAAATTTATTTTAAAAAGGCCAATAACAATAGTCAGATACATTTTTAATAAATCTCACCAACCTCTTTGTACCTCTTTAAGAGACACTGTATTTCTACAACCTGTGGCCTTTCAAAGGTAAAGACATTTTTTTGCAAGGGTGATTTGGTCATTAACATGCTCTTCTATCTAACTTGTTCTGGTGATTTTAGGGTATAAAATAGGCTTATTTCTGCAGCTAACTAAAACAATCCAGAACGCCAGCCCTTATGCTGAAGGGTTTAGTGCATTAGCAAGACGTCCCTGTTGTACTGGAAAACTACCAACGCGCAGGCAGAGTTCACAAACAGGCAGAGGTGAGTGGAGCTGGAGAGGTTGCAGGTATCAGAGTGGTTAGCAAGGCCACACGGGCCTGGCTTCTTGGGACGCACCCAAGAACAGAATTATAGGGACCTCATGCGTTCTGTCATTTAGATAGAAAGGGTTCATCAGACTGGCTAGCCCCCACATACACTGCACCAAAAATGTGCGATTGAGCATTCGGACAGTGCTGTGGACATTATCAGCAGACTAACTTATTGGTCTAAAATAGTTTCAGCCATGACTTTAAGGTTGATGTCGTAATTTTTCACATGCAGCTGCTACCTGTTTGTAGAATTGAGACACACTATTAATACAATCCCACAAACACTACACGGCTAATCTAAAGACTATTGGATAAGCTCAACCATGCCCTAAAATGCATGTTGGATAAAACACAATACAGTAAACCCCTGATTATGAGTTATGATGTTCAAAATTAATGTTGCTTCACAGAAATTCAGTTGATAATGGAATACATTTCGCTTTTTCAAAAGATCATTGTATACCTGAAAGTATCAGCAAAGTTGTTAAAATTCGAAGTTTAAATTGGCCCATAAAAAGGATTCGTGTGGTACATACACAAAAGACCTATTATTAATCTGGGTTAAGCATTAAGGGACATGTGCAGTTGCTTATTGAGTGTATTGATACCTTCTATAATTTGAGTTGCAATTTTGTTAAATTTATATTTCACATGTAGCATACCAGGGCTGCAGCTTTCTACAAATGAAGGAATATTGCTGCAGCCCCTTTTCCAAATAAAAATCTTAGCACTTTTTAATCAGGTAGCAAAGAGATACTGAATTGAAAGTGACCCGAAGGGGTAACTACGTGAACTTCTTACTTCTTAAAGTCATTAGAAGTCCACACTGGCAGTAGAAGCTGTTCAGTGGGGCTAACAACAGTGAACTGATGCATTGTTTGGAAGGAATTCCTCTAAGCCCATAGATGGGAAGCTAATGCTTAATCTATCATTTTAGGGCTTAACAACATCTCCTGCACCCTGCGTCCACTCATCTTCCTAAAGCCTGAAATGCTGATTCATTCCACAGATGGCTATTTAGATGAGACAACTTTTAATCTAATCTCTCAGCTGCATTAGGAAAAGGAAGGGCTGTACGGACACCCAAGTTCTTGGAAGGCACTCCTTGAAGTAGTCAGGGCTTATTTTTAAACTTATTTTGAGAAGTGGGGGTGACCAGGTGGTGCTCAACAGGGAAGGAGAAAAATCATACTTCAATTTCGAATTTAATTAGATAAAGACAACAGGGGATGATGTCCAGGATTTACAAAGTAACACATGTTTTAAAAATATGTCTTGTTCCTTTAAATAAAAACTTAGCTAGGTCATTGGTAGAACATGACCTGTAGGCATTTAGGCTGTTGGCAGATGGAGGTACAGTGGGTGCGTATATGTGTACTATGTCTAGTAGCCAAAAGGCTGGAAAACCTTGGGTTAAAGTGCTGTAATTTACAAATAAGTCCACTCAACGGCAATAAAAGCTACTTTAATAAACCCTGGGCTGTTTTCTCTATTTGCCAAATTTTATTTTAAAGACAAGGTATCTTGATGCAATCGGGAATGAAGACTGTTCTCTCCCTTGTGCCTTACATCAGAAACACAACTACTCTGTTTTTGAACTCTGGTCACTGTCTCAGAGAGCTTTTCATTGCATTATTTGGGATGAAATCCACAGCAGAGCGGAAGCCTCAGAACTGAGAATCAATTTAGAAAGTCTCTACTTCCTTGGCAATGACGGCTGGGCCACTATCGTGTCACTCTTTCTGAGGGACACACAGAGCGGGGTCCAGTGTCAGGACATCAGACAGTGCAAGTGGGCACTTGCTTCTGGTCTCCTGACCCGAGAGCCAATTAATTCTAATAGCAAGCAGTTCTTTGGGGAAGGAGTTTTCAGGTTAGCAAAACTTGCCTCTTTCCCTTTTCACTCGTTTTCATTTTGTTTTCCACAGTAAAACAACATACATAATTGCTTCAAGTCCATCTGAAGTGTCTCATCTAGTGCTTTGACACGTGAGTTACGAGTGGGAGGGACAGGGGTTGCAGGAGAGGAGAAGCAGGGTTTCCTGCTCTTACTACTTCGCAGCAGATAGGAAATGTAGCCTCAACGCTTGTCACTTACTGCTGCCACATCCTGGCTCAGGCTATAAATACGGTGTCACGCCAACAGACTGCCACACCAGATCAATCTCTTCTCGGTGCCCTCTGTTTAATTTTTTCTCCATTTTCATTTTCATGCCTGTGAAGGTGGCTGCCTTATTAAAATCTAATAGGACCTCCATTTTCTTTGTCTTGCAACTTCAGCTCGCCTCGCAGGGAGTCAAAGTCAAAATTTACTGCCAAGTAGTAAATCTGACACTAAGAAGATGAGAAATAACATGGATCTGCTTCAAATACCCCAAATGCTCTTTCCCATAATTTTCATCTTTTATGTGACTGATAGTGTTTGGGGGCCATTTCCCTGATGGATGGGCATTGTTTCTCCTGAGATATATTTAGATACATGCGTATTTTTCTATCAAAATCTTTGCATAATAACCTTGTAACCTATATTTTCATGAAAAGCTTTTGTACTTTTGAAAAGAAATGGGAAATGTCTAATTCTTCTAATCCAAGTTATAAAAGGAAATCTACCCAATGGAACTGTTCTTGCAAATTTGCCAAACATTGCCAGCTGCCTTCCTGAAATTCTAGCTGTAAATAATGCTGGACATGGACATAAATGCTGAGTTCCCCAGCGGTGCTCTACAAAGGCCATGGGAATTGTTGGTTGCTTGCTATTTATACCTGGTCCTTAGGCTGTTTGGGATCAAGATACTGATGCTCAAATGTTTTCTCTCTTCTCAAATGGGTATGAATCCCAAGTGCTTCTGTAGCACTCAGCTCTGAAGCTGTCTCTCTTTAGTGTAAAACATACTTAGCGGCGTATGTAGGAGAGGTGTCTTAGAATGATAAGTATTGGACTGAAAACAAATTGCATGAAAATCATTTTCAAATTGGATCCCATGGAAATACAACTCAAGTAGCTTCTAAGTAGGCGGAGGAACATAAGTGAAGTCTGAACAAGGGATGCTGTTTGGGGAAGCCAACCAGCCTGCTAAAGGAATAAGAGCCCTAACATGCTTCCCCCTCGTGCCTATTTCCAGGCCTGATGGTGCTTTAGAAGGTGATGATGGTGGTGGCAGCAGTGGCGGCGGCAGTGTGTGTTATGTGGATGGGCAGATTCTATGAGGAAACCAGGGGTCTCAGACCTTAGAATTCTCCACCCAGCATAACTGATTTTCATTCAGTGTACATCTGCTTGTGCAGTGTTCTAAAATATTCAGAAAGTTGGGTTGACTCATTGGAAAGTGTAGACCTGGGAAGGGCATTTGCTTATTTAATATAGGAGCTAAAATAATTATTTACATCTACTTCCAGTCAGGTCAATGTTAATGATTTAAGAAGACTGGTAAGGACCTAAAAGCTAATATTTCAAGTTCTTTAAAGTCAGTGGTTTCCTTGGTTGTCAACAAGAGTGGAAAATAGATACATTTCCTACTGGTGAACTACGACAGTGGTCCTCATCAAGAGCAAACTCTCTATTTGATATTTTTTTAACCAGGAATTGAACTTGGGACCTTGCGCTTGCCACTCAGGCACTTGTGCCACTGAGCTATATCCCTGGCCTCTCTATTTGATTTTCGGTTAAGAGGAAAGTAAAATCCTCCTGCCATCTGCCCCCTTCTCACACAGAGACACGTAAGAGCAATTCCCAAGTCATTACCCCAATAAAGTAAATAGCATATAACTGCAATCTCCAGCATACAAGTCACTTGTCAATTATGGGTTGAGATCTCTGCTGTAACGTAACTGAGAAAAAAATTGAAAAAAAAAAAAAGAGCTTCTAAGATAAATGAAAAACAAATCACATGCAAGTACTGGATGTTTGTAGATGGGTAGTCCTTACATATTTAAGATCACGTATTAGCCATGTATTAACAGAGTAAACCTCCCAAGATGTGAACACATGAACGGGCCACTGACATCAAAGACTTCCTTCAAAGAATTATTAGGCAGTAGAAGTGAAGGCTAATAGACCATTGATAAATGCTATGTCTTGGCAACCAGAGCCCCCTGGAGCTGCCCGTGTGTGTGTGTGTGTGTGTGTGTGTGTGTGTGTGTGTGTGTGTGCAGCCATTAACATCCACAGTTGGGCTGTGGCGGCGGAGGAGTTTCTTTGAGTCTCGTGCTCTGCTTTGCGGCGGTGATGGCTGGGTCGCTCTCCAAGCTCTCTGACATCTTGTCGCAGATGATATCCACAAGGTGCTCAAATGTTTGCTTGACATTAATATTATCCTTGGCACTGGTTTCGAAAAACTCAAACCCTGGAGGAAACACACAAAAGCACAGCGTGATCATTTTACGTTTCTGAAATTAATCAGGAATTGATTATGGTGTGAATGATGACAGGGCGACGACAGTTCAGCCCTGAGTGGTGGGTTCAGTTTGGCTGAGAGATCACAGGGGGGCTGGAGGCCGTATCTGAGCAAGTGCTCCCTCTTGCTATGCTGCCCACTGTCCATGACCAAAATAACCACACAAATGGCACACACAAATGAGATACACATTTCATCTTTCTCTATTGATTCACTTATGCTATCAACAGAGCTGAACTTATTTTCAAATATTCCTTTGCAAAATGCAGTAATAACAACATTTAGAATCCTTGATAGTGACTCTACCTTTGCCCTTGCCACCTGTGCGCACACAAGACCTAGTAAGGAACCAAGTGCAATCATTTCTAAAACTGATATTATTTGGCATTTGTTTCTTTTCCCGTTCTCCCAAAGGTGCTTTCATTTTTCATCATCTTGAGGCTTAAAAGACACGATGTGCATATTCTTCGGAAAATAAGACCGTCGTGTTGTAACATAACCCATCTCCAGCATTTTCTATAGGTAGCTAGCTGCCCCACCATGGTTCGGAAAGGGGCTTCTAGTAAGTTTTCAGTATCTATTAGGACACAAGGTAGCATTAAAGAGTCAGGTGTTCCTTCAAGCCTGGTTCAGTCTCCTGCAGGATAGTTGTGAACAGTGTGAGTGTAACAGCGCTCTGGACTTTCGCATTCCCTGAGCCTATCCACTGGCTGCTTGTCCCTCCACAGACTCTGCCATCTATCAGCAGCGCTGACTTTATACCGATAACTTGGTATATTTCAAAGGAGCAGCCCCAGTGGCCAGGGACAGCCTTACAAATCTCCCACTGTGTCCCTGTCCCTGAGCAGAAGTGGCCTCAGTCTACTATTGTACACATAGTCTTATCGCTCTACTGTGTGCTTTCACATTCCACTGGTGGAGCTGGCCCTCAGTTTCCATGACAACTTTCCCACCAGGCCAGCCAGGGGTGACTCTCCTCTGCTGAGCGGATGTTGACTTAGGGTGTGGGGGGCTGCACACAGAAAACCTTCCCTAATTCAGTCTGAGTTTTACACCCTATAAATCTGTCTGGTTACATCTGGCCCTACCTCAGAGGTCAGATGGACTCAAAATGATCAAATCAGGCAATTTCATCTCAACTTTTGGGGCTAAAAGAGAAGGAATAGACTACTAGTTTGCATCCATTTCATAATCCCTCCCATGATCTAGAAACACTCACTGTGTTTTCCTAAATAGTTCAGGCAGCAAAAATCAGATCTCATGAGTCAAAATTTTTAATGGTTATGCTATTTGATCAAATAACTAAGTGTGAGTTAGAATTTTGCTAACTAGTCTATTGTTAAAACCAAAGTGAATAATTATGAGTTTTCATTGAAGAAAACATCATGAGAGCCATGCTCTATATAATAGATGTGGATATTTCCAACTGTCTTTGTTTATATTTCTCTTTCATTCTGTATCTCTGGACACTGATTATGGAGTTGGCTCATAGTCTGTGTTATTTTATCTAAAGTTAAGGTAATCTGACATTGACTAGGAGGGCTAGAATCCTTCTTTTCCAACAGATGGATCCAGGTTTGGAGGAGGGCTAGTATGGGTCTAAGGAGGGCACTTGTTCCTTAGACGTCATAGCTACTGTATTTGCATCTTTCTGGAGATTTTCTTTGCACTAATAGGAAGATACTTCATGTCACAAGACACTAAGTACCCACAGAAGAAGTTGTGCACCCGAGATGAAACTGGAGAAAAATAACCCCAGAATTTGTCACCAAGGTACTATTTGCAAGTCTATTTCTCTCATCTCCTTTCCCAATCTTATGCATTAAAGTGTTAGGGAAGGCACTATGCTTGAACGTTATCTGGAAGGTGTAGTCATTGTTAAAAGACTTCCAGAACCATCTGTCAAATGGGACTCTTTTAATCTGGACACTGTCACCATATCATACTGGTTTACAACTTGAAGTCAGTCTAGTGACCCTTAACTGCAAATGCCAGAATATTTTCTGCTTCTCTACCTTAACGTGGAACTTAAAATCCTCACAGGATGGTGTTCCCCATAGTGTCTTAGTGCCATTTTCCCAGGAGAACCTTGTATGGTAAGGAATATGTATCATCAGCCCAACTATACCGAATCACTAGCTGGACCACGAGAAAGCCACATTCCTATCTGCTTTTCCTATTTATGACACTGGCCTTACTTGTCTCAAATAAGAAAGTGTGGGTTAAAGCACCAAACTCATTGGCAGGTGTGACAGTAACAGTCACACCAAACTAACATTTTTTGAGAGCTTGTTATTGGTGCAGTTAGAGCGCTTTTCTTTTTTTAAAAAAAATCACTCATTGTACCCCCGAGTAGGTGCTATTATTTTCTCCAATTTTCTGATCACAAAATGAAAGCACAAATAGCGGAGTAGTTTGTTCAACCGCCCTTTGCTGGGCTAGCAAGAGGCAGACCCAGAAGGTGCATGCCTAGCCTGTAGGCCCTTCTGCTCCTGCATTTTCTTGTGTAAGGGAGCTACTATTTTGTTCTAGAAGACTTGGATGTTGGTATTATTAGTCATCACAGCTTTGACCATAAGCTTTTTTCAGGTTAACTATGGAAAAGTGACTGCCAAGATTTCACACTGCCAGTAAACCTGATGAAATCATCATTTTTTCTTAATTCCGAGGAGTCTTTGAGGGGCTGGGGAGAGAGTTCAGTGGTCTAAGTGCCTGCCTGTTAGTTCAACGATCTGGCAAGTTCAGTGACCTGGGTTCCATTCCTGGAACCACAAGTTATGTCAGCCCCGGGACCCCAAGTATGCCTTGCCAGCCCCAGAACCAGGTGTGGTGGCACACTTTTGTAATCCCAGCACTGTGGAGGCTGCGACAGGAGGATCATTAGGAGTCCGAGCTGCATAGTGAGACCCTGTACCAAACAAACAAACAAACAAATAAATAACAAAATAAAAAAAAAAAAAAAACAGAGTCTCTGAGATTTGGACTGATTAAGTGTTGTCCAGGTGGTCATGATGACAGCTGTGCCTCTGCACGAAGCTTCAGATTTATAGGCATAGAAGCTTTGAAATATGCCACCGGTTGTCACTGACCCTGGCCCAAGTTGCTGCAGACTGAGATACTTAAGAACAAAATCACAAGCTTTAGTATTTTATTTAGTTGTTCAACTTCAGGAAAAGTGAAAGTTTACTGCACACATATAGCTCTCTATCCACATGGATCAGGGTCTGCGAACACCTGTGCTTTTGCTCCACACTTGAAAATGCACGGATGCCTCGGGATCACAGCCACACACCCGCCACTGTGGCCTTTATCCCCCTACTAATGCACGAGACTCTGCAACCCCTAGCATCTCAGGGCATTAGCTTCAACCATAGCAACACACGCTTGCTCTCAGAAATCTTTAGCCTGCCATCCACACACGCCAACGTCAGTGGGAAGCCAGCAAGCTGGTCAACGGTGCTTTAAAAACAGTTTTCTTTATAACCCTTTAAAGACTCCTTCCAATTTCCTGTGTATGAGGAAAGTGGGTTCAACAAGATTAAATGAGTAGCCCAAGGATGCACGGCGAACTGACTGTCAAATTTGACAAGAAGCTCCTGATAAATAGGTTACTGATTAGCTTCCAGGCTTGGACACCTGTCCCCTACACATCACCTGCTGTTAACACTTGCAGCATACAAGTTTTCAAAGACCCAGTGGTGGACACTTTCAGCGAGCCCTACAAACTCTGACTGTGTTCTGATTTGTCCGGCAGAGGAAGCGTTGCTCCTGCGTCCAATGCGCATAGTGCCGTGGTCCAGCACATCTCTATTTCAGGCTTCCTCATGCCTGACCCTGAAAGGAGAATGCTGTCCTTCCTAAGAGCCACTCCAGGCACAGTGACACATTGTTCTCTCTCTGACCTCTTGTTTCAGGCTCTTTTGGTATCATCTTGGAAAGAGTTTTAGAACAATATGTAAAGAAAGGAGTGGAGAACAAAAGCTAACTGTATGCCCCCTTTTTATGTACAGATCAAAAATTTGGGAGAGAATGCAAACCAGACTTTATTGGCAGGACCAAGAGGAATGTCCCTCTGTGGTACTTTCACTGGATTGGTCCTCCACCTGCACTGGCATCACTCAAAATGCTTGAAACCACCTAAACTCTAGTGAAGACATTCTGAACTGGGGACAGTGTGGGGTAGCGGCTCTGCAGAACACACATCTCAACAGGCTGCTGGGGTTTCTCATGCACATGGAAGGCTATGACTCACTCTCCTTGGTGCACTTGTGTTCCTAGCAGCATCATTAAAGATAGACAGAAAAGAAACAGGTGACCATAGACCCATGAATGGATAAACAGATGTGAGCTACACAGGCAGTGACAGTTCTTTTAAACTATAAAAATATTTGATTCATGTTACTCTGTGGATAACATTTGGGACACTAAGTAAAATAAATTAGTTTCCAGAAGAAGAATACTATATTATTCTACATATAGGAGGTACTTAGAGGAATTCAATTCGGAGGCATGAAGCAGAGTGGGGGTTGCCATAGGCTGCAGGAAGAGGAAATGGGGAACTCATGGGTGGATGGCTTCAGTTTCACAAGTGAAGGGTTCTAGAGACTGGCAGCACAAACATGCGAGCGTAACTGACACTACTGAACCATGTACCTAAATGTGAATAAGAAGGAGACTATTATGCTAGGCATACTTAAATACAATTGGAAGTATTCACGATCTTCATACTCTACTGATAAAAATTAGATAATGAAACCTTCTTGGAAAACTGTGGCAGTTCCTCAGATTGGCCCACCAATTCCTCTCCTAGAGATGCTCCCAAGAGAAATGAGCACATAAGTTTACACAAAACAGTGTACACCAGTGTTTATAGCAGTATTAGTTATAATAGCTAAAATGTCAAAAGAGTCCAAATGTTCATCATCTGATGGATAGAGAAATAAAATATG